GGGCAGTAAATCCCAGCATACCAGGTGGTTTTCTGTAGGAAAATACTATGGGCAGATTGCTGGGATATTTTGGGAAGACTTGTCCAAGTTGGTTACTTAACCCACTTGCAAGGGAATGGCCAAGGAAGGAAGAGAAACTCAACTTGATGACTATGAAAGTGACATAATTCCCATGGGATTTTTGAAGGAAGAATCCACTTGCAAAGAAGCAAAGTCCAAGTTTGCTTCCACTTGGTCTAAGAAGGTTTAAAGGCAAGTTGTAACCAATGGGGACCCTTGGATGGGGATTGATGAGGATTAATCCTAGCCATTAAATCTAAGGAGGTTTACATGAGATTTGCCTATGAATATGGATGAAGTCCCTTTGTAATTTATTAGATTGGAATCCATTAGAATTTCAAGTAGTATATGTGAGTTGAGAGAATTGTTGGAAGGCATGCAATTTATGAGATTCATGCTATTCATATAATTCTTAGATCACATTGTATATTACATTGGTGTGGAGTTTTATATAGAAAGAGAGATTTTCTCCCAAACTTACTTGTTTCTCGATATTGTCTTTGTTACTTCAAATCTCATACTCAAAGTTTGTCTTGATTTAGCCTACAAGGTTGAATCATTTTGGGGCGTCGAAAGGCTGACTTAGCGCTTTCTCGTAGGGACGGGAATTGTGTTGCGTTAAGGCCGCACGGTGTCTAGTTTTTCTAGTGTAAGAAATCTAGTCCCGTGACAACTACGTCTTCAAATAAATTAATCATTCGTACCAAATTTTGGACCAAGGTTGATTTTGCAATTATCTAGTTATCTTCGTGAGGATGCGCACTACTATCACCATAAAATAGCCATCAGCCAAGGGAAAATCTTCATTTAATACCAATTTTGGCGCGGAATTGGAGTTCTTGAAATAATAATAAAGTTAAAAGCTATAAAGCATGTATTTGAATAGATTATTGAAAAATGTACAAAACCTTTGTATACAAAGTTAAGATTACTCAATAATTTTGCTAATATAAGGAAAATAAGTAAAATCCTAAAAGGAAATAAAACTAACATCCTAATTTAAAGCAAAGTATAAATCATATTCTAATCAATGAAGAAAAAGAAGTCCTATTTAAAATAAAAAAGAAGAAGAAAAATAGATAAAATATGTTACAACGAGAAATCTTAATATAAAAATTATATTATAAATAGCTAACTTTCATCATATTCATAATATAATTGTCCTACGTCACAATGTTAAAAAGTTGGGAACATATATGTCATAAATGGAACGTTGGGGGCATGCTTCCGCGTTTATTAAAGGTTAGGGATTCCTATAGTATTTTTACCCTAAAAAATTACCCAAAAGAAAAAATTGAAAAATATAACGGAAGAACTTCTCTTCAGCTCTCGCCATTAGAATCCCCTTTTAAAATTTCGACGATCCCAATTCCCAGATCAACATGGAGACAAGAGAAAACAAGAGGATGAGAAATCAAGAATCATCGGATAGAGAAAAACAAGAAGAATTTGAATCTGATAAATTAGGCAGTTTACCCGACAGTATATTGACTCATATACTTTCTTTGATTGATACGAGGACCGCCGTCCAAACATCAGTGCTGTCCAAACGCTACAGACTTCTGTGGACTTCATTGCCAAGTCTCAATTTTTACTATTTTGGCAAATCCCGACTTAATTTTACTTCACTAGTTGATCATGTTTTGGGCTGCAGGGACGATACTGATTTGACTGGGTTTCGACTTTCCTTGTACAAGGAAGTGGCCGCAGGTTGTATTCGCGACTGTATTTCTTACGCGGTTCATCGCAAAGTGCAGAATCTCAGCGTACGTGCTTACACAAAACATAGTCTTGTCACGTTGACTAGCTTGTTAAATGCTTCTTCATCGTTAAGAACTTTGCGTCTTAATAATGCGACTTCTTGTAATATCGAGTTACCAAAGTCCCTCTCTTTGCAGGAATTAAAAGTTCTTATTCTGAAAAATTTTGTGTTTTCGAGTGAAAATTACAATGTGGATATTTTCTTAGGGTGTCCAAATCTTGAGACGTTGATTCTGAACAAGTGTTTGATTAGGCAACGGGACAACCTTAAGGCATTGAATGTGAATTGTCCGAACCTTAAAAATCTCGAGATAAGGTATTGGAGGAGTGTTTGGGAACATTTTGATGAATATGTGATCAATGTGACTGCACCTAAACTTGTTTCTTTTAAGTTCCAAGGTCATATCCTGAGAGTGAATTTTAAGGGGGATTTGTTGTGTTTAGATGAAGTTTGTGCGGATCTATGTTATCCGACTGCATGCAAGACAGTTAATGTGAGACATAGAAGGAGAAGGACGGCTCAAAGTTTTATTTATATGCTTGGCCAGCTATGTAATGTGAAGTCTCTGTTCGTATCATTGAAGACCATTGAGGTATTTGAAAATTTCTCTTTACTTGCTTCGACTGCCTAAAAATGAAATGGAAGTATATCGGGATTCTACTAAATCTTGTTTGTTTTTAAAATATTCATTGAACAAGCAAGATTACAGTTGATGAACCCTTCAATATTGAAGTGAAAGTAATCTTTTTATCGAAGAACATTTTTTGTTCTAATCCGCCATTGCTAGTAGTTCCATTTTGTGGTGTATTCGATTGCTAAAGAGAAATATTATAATTCAATTAGAGTTCTGTGGAAAATTATGAGAAACAATTCTGATAACTAACTTTTTGTATTTCTAAATGTGGCTAGGCTCTATCTTCCATTCCTAATTTTCGAAAATTTCCTATACCTTCCATATTTCGGAAATTAAGGTATATAAAGTTCACAGTGGAGGATAAATACACAGAGATGAATGCATCCATTGATACTGTTGCACAATTGTTGAAGCGAGCGAAGACCAAGTTTCTGGTATTCAGTCTTACTAAGGTACGGTTACTGTCTTGTGCAGTAATATTTTGAAATTCATTTACGTTGTACTCTGCTGAATAGCTATCGAATCAAGTATAATATGTGCTCCATTTCATTTGCAATCTTTACATAATTTTAGAGGAACCATAAATTCAACAACGTAATTGTGCATCTTTTTACTAAACCTTAAAACAAACTCATGAACCAATATAAGTATGAGGGCCACATTGTGCCGTTAAATTTTGCTGATGCCAATCAATTTGCAGGAGCAGCTTCTCTCAATAAATGTGAAGCCTCCACCGATGAAATTGAGGCATAAGTATGCAACCCCAATCACTATACCAACACACCTGATGTCTCATATATTAGAAAGCTCTCCTAGTGCAGAAGTCTTAGTAATTGAATTACCAAAGGTACTTCTTTTTCAAATGGAGCGAGTGTAAAGCAGGTGTATTAATTTACTGATAAGCGCAATTTTTCATATTTTGATTTCAGGCAGCATCAGACTAAAGGCGGGTAGAAAGAGGCATGTTGAGATAAATGGCGTATTGGAATGCAAGCGTAACATAGAAAAAAGCTCGTCTCCTTTTGGAGGAATAGTGTGTTTATGAAGAATATATGTAGGAACATAGTTGCAGTGTGCACAATGTGATACCCATATTTCATTTCAGAACCAAACTTTTGAGGTATTTGATAAATTTGAACACTAAAATGAAAACCAAGAATATATTATTGAAGACCAGCCTGTTTAGTCATAAGAACACGCCGCCTTCGACCAATCCAAGTAGTCATCCACGGAGAATCTCCCGAAACCACTCTGTAACCCGCACTAGAATACAATTTTCGAGCTCCATAATCATCTTCGTAGGCCCTTAGAACAAGATACTCAAAACCCCAAATTGCAGCAAGTATATCACAGGCTTTTATCAATGTGGTGGCAACCTTTTGCCTTCTGTGATTTTTAGACATCATTCAGTAACAAATCAAAAACATGCATTATAATTATACTTTTTGTTAATTCTAGATTAACTTTGTGATAAATTCTTGCCTGAATTTGTTTAGTACAGCAATTCCCGACACGTATAGATATTCTTCTGCCCCCGGGAGGTGTTGAAGAACAGATTCTTCCCTCTGAACAGTGACATCGACTACTCCTACAAGCTCTTTCTGTGAATTACCAGTATCAGTTAAAGGCTCTGCGACCAAACACGCGTACCTATTCATCATAGAAATTTGTTTGTAGTTGAACTAGGAGAATTTTCAGTACCATAAATTCTATGGAACTTGCTGTACAACTAGATGAGGGGGGTAGAATTATTAGCTAATTTACCTGTCTGATGGTGAGTTCCTAAGTCTGTAAAGAAGCCCTGAAAGCACTTCAGCCTGTAAGCAGCATGAGTTTGACCAAAAATGTATTAAAAAATCATCATATTTTATTCAAGAAAAGGAATTTGTACAGTGTTTCTTGAGTAAAATCATTACCTGGAAGAATTCGAAGAACATATCATTGAACAAAATGACAGGCTCGTGGAATGCTTCAGCTTGAACTTTGGCGACTTTCTTCATTTCTTCTTCCGTCTCGACCATTCTCCTCACTTGCCAATTGTTGTCTCTAACAAGACTCTTGTAATGTGTTCCTTCGAAATCGAGCTTTCTAGCAGAGAATTTCGCTTGTTGATCAGAAGATAATGGTGACGAGGTCGAAGAAGTACAACAATGTAGTAACCTTCTATGCTTCTTGAATTTTTGCTTGTCGAGCCTTGAATAGTGCTTTACATCTCTGTATCTCCCATAGAGTTCTCTTTGTGACCCTTCGAAAACATATGGTTGGTTGGGATATTGCAAATGAGCCATAACCTACTGAATTCTTGTTCAAGAAACACTTTGTTGTACAGCATGTGAAGCAAAATGCAAGAACAATAGAGGAGTCGTCCTTGAACGCGAGGTCATACCCTCAAGTTTGGCTTGCGACTCTCACGTAAAACCTTTTAGTCGAGTCATCTCTTAAGCGTATCAAGGCGATCTCGACTATTACCAATTGTTCGTATACTATAAAAAATAGTAATAATATGTTAATAATGGGACAAGATGGAAAGATAAGATTATTATGATGCAAGTGGCTGTGCTTTTTAATCTCAGAATATGGGGGGACCCTCCTAATTTTCCTATCCATAAATTTGTGACATTTATAAAGTCAGCAGGATGACACGTGTCCTTGCTAAACTAGCTATTTGTTATTTTTCTTTGAGTAATGATATTCATCCCCAGTAGGGATGAAAACATAGTTTATGTGGTTTTAAATGATACGTTAAATGAAAGGTGAAATTAAATGATTTATTTAATTTCACTTATCATTTAATGCCACATTGACGTCACGCGAACTGTGTTTTCATTTCCAGTGGGGATGAATAGCATTACTCTTTTTCTTTACTCGAATACTTATGGGCCATTGGACGATCATGAGCAAACTCTACTGGGCCCAAAATTGGGTTTTTGGGATTTAGGCTCTATGTCCATTGGACCCAATAGTTTGTTTAGCATGGAAGTTTCAGATGCATTATTTTCAAGAAGAGGGGGGAAAAGAAGCTGATTTTCTCGAGCAGCTTTGTTTCCTCTACGAGAACATCCTCGACTTCCTTAAAAAACCAAAGTGAAAAGGACATAACTTCCACACATACCCTACAAAAATCCTATAATCCAACTGCTACAATGTGAAAATAAATCTAAATACAAGAACACAAGATTTCATGTGGAAACCAGACGGAAAAAAAAATCACAGGCAGAGTAGGAGAATTCACTAAACCAAAGTATGGATTGTTGTTACAAGATTTAATGCTCTCAATCAAAATCTAATGTACTCTAATACTATGAAGAGCCAACTAGTCGTGGAGTACATATACTATCATAATTATAGTGTTTTAGATGGAATGTGTATCTTAAAATTCGTCGAATTCGCAAACATGCCAATACCGAATAACAAGGTCGCTCAAGCAGCTTTCCTTGCGTGCATCGAGCGACAGCACTAGCGCTCGAGCTCAAGTTCGCGGGCAGCGAGAGGCGAGCTCCCTGTTCTGAGCACTCGAGCAAGAAATGATCGCACATCGAGCCAAAATGTAGCGATTTCTTCTCCTTGGTTTATCTTTTGACTTCTTTAACGTCTCTTCAACCAAACCACCAATACCCAATGGAATTTGGGTTATACTTCAACAAATATCCACTTTTACACAAATTACAATACAAGGAATTACTCTTCACTCTTCAACAAACAATTCTCCACCTTTTCCACACAAGTCCCTAAGGCCTAATTCAGCAACAAAATACCAACCAAGTCCAAACAATGTACAAACATGGCTTTATAGAGTGTCTTTGTTAACATATCAGTGAGATTGTCTTTGGTATCAACCTTTCTCACTACACTATCACCACAAGCAATCACATCACGCATAAAATGATACCTCGCATCAATGTGTTTTGTCCTCTAGTGAAACATCTGGTCTTTTGTTAGAAAAATAGCACTCTGCCTCTATTTCCTTAACCACATAGCTCCCTTTCAAGCTTCTATACTAGCCATGTACTCTTCCTCTATAGGAGCTAATGCCATTGTATTCTGTAAACTAGCCTTCCAACTTATCGCACAACCACCAATTGTAAATACATACCCTTGAGAGATTTCATTTTATCAAGATTTCCTGCAAAATCTGAATAATAAACATACCCAATGAATAAGCAATCCAACTGCACTCGAATAAGGAACCTGTGACATATAATCAAGATGAATATAAAGCAGATGACAACTTAAAGTGGGTAGACAAAGGAGTACTGACAGCCTTCTCATTAAGCATATTAAACATGTAGAGTACTTTCTCAATGTATCATTTTTTACTCAAGTATAATCCGACCTTCCTATCCCTCGAGATCTCCATTCCAAAGATCTTCTTTTCTACTCCCAAATCCTTTATGTCAAACTCTTCACCGAGTTGGGCTTTTACCTTTCTTACCTCTGCTTTATCCTTAGTGGCTATCAACATGAATATAATAATCAACATACAATAGTATATATATATAAACAACCCATCACCACACTTCCTAAAATACACACAACTATTATAACTGCTTCTATTAAAGTCATGAATAATCATGAATGGGTCAAGCCTTTTACATGACTGTCTCAGTGATTGCTTCAGAGCATAAAGGGAATTCTTCAACACATATAGTCCCCATTTCCTGTAACTACAAAACCCTCTGGCTGTTGTATATAGATGTCTTCTTCAAGTTCTCCATGAAAGAATGTTGTCATGACATCCAGTCGTTCAAAATCCAAATCATGCTTAACCACAATACCAAGTAGAGCTCTAATTGAGTTATGCTTTACAACTGGAGAAAACACATCTGGGAAGTTTACACTTGGTTTACCTTCCTTTCTTTGGGACGATCATTAATCACTCTATTTAGGTGGTAATAATTATATATTAATAGCTATTTCAGTTGTTAATTTTGCACTTTATCCGGCTTAAGAGTTAAGTCAATATATTGACCTACTTCATTTAGAAGGTTAAGCATACTATGTACAATATTTTCAACACGTCTAGTGTTAGAGAATAACGAGATAATATGAAAATAAATCCAAACATAAGAATACAAGATTTTACGTGGAAATCCAGACGGGAAAAAACCCCAGGCAGAGGAGGAAAATTCACTGGACCAAAATATAGATTGTTGTTACAAGATTTGATGCTTTCAGTCAAAATCTAATGTTCTCTAATGCTGTGAAGAGCCAATTAGTCATGGAGCGTATATACAACCCTAATTGTTGTGGTTTAGATGGAATGAACATCTTAAAATTCGTCAAAATAGCAAACATGCTTGGGCCGGGTAACATTGCCGCTCGAGCGACGTTCTTCACGTGCATCGAGCGACAGCATCGGCGCTTGAGCACCAAGCTCGCGGTCAGCAAGTGGCGAGCTAAAATGGGGCAAATTCTCCTCAGTCCATCTCTAGACTTCTTTAAGGCCTCGTCAACCAAACCACCAATATCCAATAGAATTTGGGTCACACTTCAACACCTTGCAAGAGCTGAATTTTCATAATAACTTGAACCAAGAATTTTACACGTTTTTACGTTATTGAACCACCTAAAACCTTAAGCTGCGAAAGATGACAAATTTATTTATTAAAATTATGTGATCAATACTCCCAAGTTAGTTATCATGATGTATAAAACACAAAGGAATCACAATTATGGAATTTTTCATGGTTGCATAGATGAAGAACTTTTTGTTTTTTTTTTTTGGTCTGCATAGAACATAAAAAAAGAAATATAGACTTTGTATTGCAATTTCATTATAGTTTGTTTTTGAGTCAAACTGAAGCATCAGGAGTTAAACTTGTTTTCAGGTTTTAAGAAAGCTTGTGGACGATGCCTCAAAGTTCTTGAATGACAAGGTTACAAAAGCAGAAATTACCGTACCGGCGTACTTTAATGATTCCCAAAGAACAGCGACAAAAGATGATGGTCGTATTGCTGGTTTGGATGTTCTCCGTATCATAAATGAACCTACAGCTGCTTCATTGGCCTATCTATTCGAGAAGAAGAATAATGAAATAATTCTAGTTTTTGACCTTGTAGGCGGTACATTTGATGTTTCGGGTACATGTTATTTTGCTCTGTGCTGTTGCTCTTCCATTATTATTTGTGTCATTTCAAAACAATTATCCTTAAGGTATTAGGGTATGCATTTATTTTTGTCTTTCATCTTCTTAGCGTATTGTGTTGAAAGGCTTTGAAATGCTTGATCATTAGATGTATTTAACCTGAAAAGATGTTCCAGACTGTTAAAAGAATTTGTTTAAAAATATTTCTGGACCCATTTTTAACAATCGCTTCCTTTTGTTTTATTATGTTCGTAGACAGGATGGGTTTTGTGAAATATTTGTCTTTTGTTTTTCCTATTTTATTTAATTTCTTTCTTTTGGTAATATGTTAACTGGAACCTCGGATACTTATGTTTCCCTAATTCCGATAGAGTTGCACAATTGAGTAGCAATGTGGTTCTGAGTTTATGACGAGTTAAAAAAGAAATTAATCTGGTAAATAGAAGTGAATCAGTGGGAAATTAAAAATTCTATGTTGATCGGTCCTTCCAGTTTCTATGATCGATCCTACACAACATTTTATTTAGCTTTTTGCTAACTTGATCAGCTTTTACTTGGCAGTTCTTGAGGTGGGGGATGGAGTCTTTGAAGTGCTCTCGACCTCTGGAGACACACATTTAGGAGGTGACGACTTTGACAAGGTATTAATCTGTAATGTGAAGCAATTTGGTGTAAGGTATTTCTTTTGATGATGATGATATTCATGCCCTTCTGTGCAATAGAGAATTGTTGAGTGGCTTGCTGATAAATTCAAGAAAGATACAAGGTATAGATCTACTTCAAGATAAGCAGGCACTCCAACGCCTTACAGAAAGTGTCAGAAAAGGCGAAGATAGAATTATCCTCTTTGACCCAAACTAACATAAGGTATGTTGTTCTTCATAAATGATAATCTCAGAAATATCCTTTTTTTCCTGAGTCCATGCATTGGTATTTGTTGTTGTGCAGTTTATCTTTCATCACTGCCACTGCAGATGGTCCAAAACAGTTTCACTGGACATAACTGTCATACCTGCTTAATACGGGAGCACATCAAAAATCAAATCAATCTATTAAATCTTAATTCAGCAACGAGATTGATTTGGTTTACTGTGTACTGTAGGAGATATTACACCGATAATGTGCATATTATATTCATCAAGAACATACCGTTAATATATTTGAAATCGAAATATACACATTATTGGTGTAATATCTCCTACAATCTTAAGATGAATTTGCCCTGCATCAACCAATGAACTCGAACGGAGTTCCCTCTCTACCATAACCATGATTTTGATGCAAGAAATAATCACTTCTACAAAGTGTTTTATGCAAAACTAAATTGTAAAATGGAATGGAATGATATGAAACTATCAATTGAATTGTTTGTTGTTTTTCATAAATCCAAACACATGGGGATCTATATATATAGTAGTTGGAAATCACACCAAAAGGCACATCTCTGAAAATTAAGAATCATAATTATTGGAAGTTACTCACACCAAAAGTCATGATCCATATGAAAAGACTCATCTTTTCATATACTCATTATCTAGAATATTCCACAATATTCTATACAATATTCTATACAATTTTCAACAATTTCAAGCATTTTAAGTTTGACTTAATTTCTCATTCACCAAACAAAAAATTCCACTTAAACAATCACTTAAACTGATCACAACCAATTTCGAATTTTCCAACATGTACTATTACAGGCCGTGTTATTTAATTTTAGCATCGAACGGATTCATTCCGGAAAACGGTCGAAAAAATGGATTCATTCCAAAAGTGTAGACAAATGGAAATCAACACGAATAATTTCTCGACGAAAGATTATAGAATCACCTATCTATGTCCCTGTGTCGAAAGTGGATAGATTTTTCTGCTGCATTGAGATTTATCATGTATTAAGGGAGCACAGCAAAAATCATTCATCTAAAAACCGAAAACATGTTTACAGGCTTTAAGAATCTTTCCTTTCTTCTTCGTGAATCTTGTCTTGGAAGCTGATATAGTAGTGTATTCATCGGCTGCAGTTATATTACACTGGTGGTGAATTCTACAATACCCTTCAGACTCTGATCTTCTTATGGACAGTGTTCTCTTCATCACGCTTTGAAGTGCCATATTTTGTTCCTCGACTGGATCCTTCACAGAATTCTTTGAGTAGACAGGACATTTTATACCTAAAATTACACCAAAGATTTCTCCAATGTCATCTTCATGTTCATGCTCGGGTATTGGAGGGTCGTCTGGTTGGCTCTTCAAGGATTTTAAGGCGTAGGTTGGACCAGATTGTGGTGTTTGAGGTAGAAAAGAAAAATCTACAGATTTTGATCTTGTTGTGTTACCTTTTCTGATTCTTGAGTATCCATTCATTTTGGTTTATGAAAATGAGGTAAATGGATTCATTTCAGTGTATATGGGATTTATCAGTAGAAGACAAAACAAGAACTGGAATCACAGGTACAAAATGCATGTGAAATATAAACGGAGCGACGCTGATACATTTGGAGTTACACTAGATTTTTATCTATGTGAGTAGAGGACGAGAGAAGGCCAGGAGGTCGACCTCTTGCAAATTGAATTGTCCTTTCAACAAGGGCCCAAGTTTGGCATTGATCTGTCACTCAAAATGTTAATAAGAAGTACGTAGGACACACTATCTGCCGTAAGCACGAGGGTATTCTATTGAATCTAGGGGTGGCAATATATATTTTTACAAATCAGTGAAGTCTCTGAAGGATAAATTTTGTTTCATTAAGATTAAATTTAATCCAAGCGTGAAGTCTCTGAAGGAGAAAAATGGCTTGCAGTTGCTATCCAGTGAATTTGACTGCAGTGTCTTCCAATAAAATAGGCCATCGACTAACGTTGTAGATTGGGTGTATAGTAGCTAATAGTTAATGACGCCCACCAATCTCCTATCAAATCAAAGCTGCCGACAGTGGTCGACAACAGGCCACCATCGACCACCGCACCATCCCAAACAAACAATTGGACAAACATTGTATGGAGTCAAAATCAACCCTTAAAACCATGGAGTGTGCGGTCCAATAACAAAATCTGGCGACTCTAGTGACACCCACTGTCATGCACCGCTACGAGTCGGTTCGCCTCACTTAGGTGCTCCAATTCATGGTGAGATCATCCAAAACAGCCCCGGTTGATACCGGTCTGCCTCGAGGGGAAAATGAGGTAATTCTGTCTCCTTCAATTCACGGGTTTGGGAATGATTTTCGACAAAATGGGCAACACACGAATCATCAGCAGCATCATATGACCATTGGCGTCATGGCGTGTACCCAGTTTCTCTAATTGATGCCCCCAATCGACTCAATTTGGACTCTAATTTTGCCTAAATCGCACACGAACTGAGGAAATTTTGCCTCTTCCAATTGACGAATCTGGAATTCTTTTTCCCCCCAAATTGGCAACCTACAATCCCTTAGCAACACCAAACAATGATGGGTATACCTTCAATTGATCCAATTGTGTCACAAATTGCTCCAACTTTGGCTTCAAATTCTGCCTAATTCTACGTGCAAAATGAGGTTTGAGTTTCTTCAGTTTCTGTTTAGACCCACACCACGAGACAACCTCCAATTGTTTGCGTTGGATGTGAAAGTGAGTTTGATTTGATTTCTGATTTTGATGTTAGAGGAGTGAGTTCATTTTTGGGTTTGATTTGTTTTCCTAGTAATAATTAACCTATATCTGTATTGACACAAATGAAGAACCCTCTAAGGATATGCAGAAAAGCTCAAATTCTAGAAATTTCTAGAGTTTTTACAGCAACAGCAGAATAATAGACCTATATGTTCACTCCCAAGAAGATACATAATATAAAGCTGAAAAAAAAGTGCAATCTTACAAGAGAATTATATATTCACTACTAAAAAACAACAAAGTCTTATTCCCAGTAAATTTAGGATTGGCTACATGAGTCCTCGTGCACCATTTTGATCGGTTTGCTTCTACAAGAAAACCTTCTTGTTTTTAACACAGGCGTCGGGAGATCTTACAATGCAAGGTTCAGCATCAATAAGCATTTTCACCACTTCTTTCATATTCGGTCGAAGATTTGGAAGTTTGGAAGTGCATAATTCAGCAATCTTCAAGAACTTTATCATATCATCCTTGACAAAATCAGAAACCACCTTAGGATCAAGAACTTTAACAACATTTTCCTGGTCATTTAAATAAGTTGAAACCCAGTAAACGATATCCTTTCCTTCACCATAAGCCTCCTCGATTGGCCTTCTACCTGTCACTAATTCCAACAGAACCACTCCAAAACTGTATATGTCACTCTTTTCAGTGACTTTGAATGAATATGCTAGTTCTGCACAGAAATTCCATCATTAAAACAAAGCACGGACAAGTAACGATGTATTGACAAGATTTTTTGATACTTCATTGAAAAATTATAGTAAGATCTGAGTGAAGTACTGCCCTAAATTCCATTTCAAGAACCATATCTTATTGTCCTCTTAGTGTTTCTCTTAGAATGATCTTAATCCACTAACATAAACCCACAATGCAATAATATGAAACAGAAATAATAACAGCCTAGCATTAGACAATATCAAGATTCATGTACCTTTTGAAATTCAAATGAAAAATGATTTATTAAATATCAAGATTCCTAGAGTTGGTTGATTGCAGAGATTAACAAGTAATATTAATGCAAAAATAATTTTAAGCGAAAGATCGCAGTTACTTAAATAGTTTCAAGTATCTTAAAACTAACCTGGAGCCATATAACCATGAGTTCCCGCAAAACAACTGCATTCAGATCCTCTAGGAGAAACTTCTGCAACCTTAGCAACACCAAAATCAGCAATTTTGGCTTCATAATCCTCACCGAGTAATATATTGGTTGATTTGATATCCCTATGAATAATTGGTGGGGAGCAATCATGGTGTAGGTAAGCTATTCCTTTAGCAGCACCTAATGCGATTCTGTACCTTTGATACCAATCAAGTTCCGGTCTTCCCATCTTAATTTCTCGATTAAGGGCCTGAAACAGGTTCCCATTATCCATGTACTCGAACACCAAAAAATTTGAACCTCCTTTCATCAGACAAGCATATAGCTTTAGAATATTTCGATGCCTAATCTTTCCAAGAATTTCCATTTCTGCTGCAAAGAGTTTCACGCTGTTTCCCTTCCACAGCTGCTTCACAGCAACTGTACCACAACCTTTCTTCAAATCTAGTCGATAAACTTTTCCAGTGCCTCCAACGCCAATCAAATTATCCTCATCCACACCACATATTTCGTCCACATCAAATTCAACGTGGTGGAAGCTCTCAAGCTTCCATTTCGGACGTATTCCCTTTTCTTCTTCTGGGTGCTCTTCTGCATCAGTCCGACTTTGCTTGAAGTTCAAGTAACTCACAAGCAGTAAACCCCCTAAAATAACAACCAGAGCGAGCAATATCATACAGAACAAAACTAATTTACTTTTACCAAAGTCCTTGTGACTATTCTTTCCATTGCAAGGACCTAACCCTGAGTTCATTGATCCTTTGATGCTTCCATCAACACAAAGGCCTTTGTTTCCAACAAATGCCTTGTCCCCGGCCACAGTCAGAAAATCAGAGGGAACACTTCCCGATAGCTGGTTATTTGATAGATCCACTGAAGACAGCTTCAATTTATCCAATTTTTCTGGAATTGATCCCGTGAGTCTGTTTCTTGAAAGATTCAAAGAGTTCAAAGTGGCCATAGTTGAGAAAGTACTGGGAATGCTGCTGGTCAGAAAATTTGAAGCAAGATTTAAGTCCACAAGCCGAGTACATTCTGCTAATTCTGCCGGTATCGATCCAATTAGCACATTTTCTTCCAAATGCAAAGATGATATCTGCTTTAGGGCACCAAGTTCTAATGGAATTCTGCCAGAAAAGTTGTTATTATCCAAATATAGGCGTTCCAACTGCACGAGTTTGCCAAATTCTTTTGGGAGCTCTCCTGAAAATCTGTTGTTTGACAGCATTAGCCCTTGCAAATTCAAAGAAACCCCAATGCGTGGAGATATCCTGCCAGTGAAATGATTATCACTGAAATCCATCATATTCACATTAGGAAGTGCCCATACACCATCAGGAATATTTCCAGTCAGCTGGTTCTGACTGATTCTCAACCGTTCCAAAGGAAAACATTCTGCATAAGTATCTGGAAAGCCCCCGGAAAACTTGTTTTGCAAAGCAAGCAATTTCTGTAAATTCTTGTTCTGACACAAGTATCTCGGGAATCCACCAAACAAATTATTTTCAGATATGTCAACACTGTTTAATGGTGAAAAGCGGCCAAGATTGGGTGGAAATTCTCCTGAAAAACTGTTCTTATAGATAGAAAAGGCATTGAGGTGCTGCATATCACCAAATGATGCTGGGATTTCTCCAGAGAAGTTGTTCTTGAATAAGTGAAACACTGTTAATTTCTTCAGATTGCCAATCTCTTTAGGAATTGTCCCGTGCATTTGGTTTGAAGATATATCAATTTCTTGTAAAAGAGTGAGCTTTCCAAGTTCTTGTGGAATTTCACCTGTCAAATTGTTCCCATAAAGCTCAATTTTCCACAAATTTCTCAACTTGCCAATTGACTTTGGGAAGTTTCCAGTAATCTTATTCGTGCAAATATCCAAAGTTCCCAATGCCTCCAGTTCAAAAATAGATTCTGGGATTACCCCCCGCAAGTTTGATCCTGCCAGGTAAAGCCAGTATAAGCTTTTCAAATTACCTAGGCTATCTGGAATTTCTCCCTCGTCATAGTCATTGTTCCCAAGGCCTAATGAAACCAGATGAGTCAAATTTCCGACCCAAGCTGGGAATTCACCCGAAAAATAGTTATCTGAGAGATCAAAAATCTCCAAGTTGGTCAAATTGGACAAGTCAGGAATGCTTCCATTCATATTGTTATCAGATACATTCAAAACCTTTAGATTCATGCATTTGCTCAGTTCCTTCGGAAGAATTCCTGATATAAGGTTTGAAGGTAGAACTAAAGAAGTGAGGTTTTGCAGGACAGAAAGTGATGGGGATATTACCCCAGAAAGAGACTTGCTGTCAAGTGAAATATCAGTGACTAAACCAGTATTTTCATCACATGAAATTCCATAAAATTGGCAAGGAGAATCTGAATCCTTCCATGAATCTAAGTAATTCAAAGGATCATTAAGCTGTTTTTTGAATTCCAGTAGGGCCTGAGTTTCTACAGGCAAGCACATGAATGGCTGGACATGGAATAAGAAAATTAATAGAAAAATAAAAATTTGGAGAAAAGGAGATTTTGGCTGGCTGGCCATTGGAAGTACTGGAAGGGGTAAAACAGTCATTTGACAAGGGGGAGACAAAGCCAGTGAGGACCTCCATTATTGCAATGGGTCTCCATCCTTTGGTAGTACAGATGTAGCTGATAACAAACATTAGCAAACACAAACTTAGCATTTAATAAATGAAATCAAATAACTAAATATACTAATAGTTAATAATTCTACTGCTAAATAAAAAATCAGTATGGACATGGAACTTTGTCTCTGCCAAAAGCATATAATGCTTCGACAATTATCATTTTCTTTTCATATTTGAGTAGCAACAACAATAAAGTAAGTCTCGTTTCGATAAATTTAAAATCGAGCATGAGAATCCTTTTTTACAGTGAGAATAACATATTCTTACCGTAAAAAAAGAATTAGCCCTTGTTTGTCTACCATTTTTACAAAAATTGTTTTCTAAAGTAAACAATCTCAACCACATATTCACTCGATAAAATATTCCACACACAAACCAATAAAATTACTTTAAATTTCAATCACACATTCTTCAAAAAATACTATTACTTACTCCATTTCTCTACCAATAATGGTAGACAAACAGGCTCTTGCTTTCTAAGCACCTTGAGGCTCAAAAGTGTAAACTCTAAGACTGATGTTAAGATGTCAAATTGTATCTAGTTGGGGATTAAAATTATTAAACAAGTCTCCCTATTAAGTTTTAACAACTCAAATGAGAAAAGCCAAAAACTTATTGACCAAAAGAAGAAACCTTTTAAATCATTAAACTTGTTCGACACCATTAGTCCTAGGAGGAAAATTAAGACAAAACAGGGATGATGCCAAAGCTCCAAAACAGCTCATTTTGAAAAGAAACACACGAGGATAGTGAATTTTACTCATTTTTATGCACAATCATCTACTTATTCATCTATTTAACACAGAAAATTTACAAATTAGTTAACATAGTCATGTTCCTTATACAAGAAAACACACACACACACACAGAGGGAAACGTAGTTAAGATACAGCAAAAAATTTAGAAGAAAAGATGAAACTGAAAGAAAGGTTACCTGTAATTCTGATGACTGCAGAACTTTAGAAGCTAATTATGAAAAGAAGTTTCCATTTCAAAGCAGAATTAATGAAAAATGATACCAAGAAACCTGAGGGAGAATTCTTGGGATTTGAGGAGATAATTACTTTTCTATAATGAAAGAATGCAGGAGTTTAAGTGGAATGAATATGATAAGAGAGGCCAGAATGAGAGAAGGATAAGGAAATGAATTACATATAATTTATTTTGAATTTAGAAGAGAACAATATCTGAGATCACCTCTGTTTATGGAGCAGAAAAATGACAAAAGAGCTTTCAAAAACAGTTTTATGAATAGAAATCCACAACCGCCAAAAAGCTTATACTTGATAATGATTTTTCTTTTGATTAGAGAACGCAGTACGTACGGGGGGTGGGATGGCCACTGCGTCAGGAAAATAATTCAATTAGTACAACCAAATAAATGCACACAATTTAAAATAATTTTTTGTTTGATTCTATTATTTTTAAAATATGTTTTTTTTTTCTGTTATTTTTAATCAATCATTTTTCAATAAAATAATATTATACGTAAATCTAATTTTTTTCATATTTTTTAACTATACGTTCTCTATCAAAATATTATTCCAAAATTCATTTAAGGACAAAAAATAGGGTTCAAACATGCTCTAATTGTGAACCTCACTCCTACCCTCGTCGAATTTCTTACTTAAGTCTCATCATTTCTTAGGGATCATTGGAGTGTTTAGCGCCATTATTTTTTAAGAATGTATTTTGAAATAGTAGATTGATGAAGAATGTGTGGTTGTGGGCTCCATTATTCCACGTTTTAATTTGGGAAATTTTAATTTTTTTTTTTTTTTAGAATATGTGATTGAAAAAGAAGAAGTTTTTAGATTTATGTGTAATAATATTTTATTAATAAGAAAGAAAAAAAAAAGAATTTTAATTTATTGGGAGGGAAACAAGGGCTGAATATGTCTCGTTACTCGACTTTTCACATCAAAAGTCCATCTCAAGGGGCTCATGACGAAGATTCCCCTGGTCGCTATGTTTTATGCGATTTCAAACTTATCAACGATAATTATCGAAATAGTGTGCAAGATAGTGGAAGTGCAGAGAAATGGGGAGTAGTGGATGCTGAATGCAGGGCTCCACTGCACACCAATTATTGATATTGCTCAAACTAATGCCAATAATCATCCCATTATCTAATGTCAAAAGAATTAAGCTACTCCTGTAGAAAATGTTGACATATATATTGGTGGCAATAAATAATTAGATGTAAAAGTTGATTGTTTTTACAACAATTAAATGACAAAATGTCACGTGACATTCTGTTAAGGAAGATGTCAAACTTTTCTGGCAATATAGCATGATTGATGTTACAATTGAGCTACCTCTTCCTCCCTGTAAACTAGAGGAACCTTTTTTCTTTATTTTGAATGTTAGAGGGACCTATTATAGTGACACAAAAATTAAAAAACATCTCCCATATAATATTTGTGTCGACATGACTTGATTACGTAGACAGTCAAATTTGTTAGTCTGTATTTGCCTTATGTTTATAAATTGTTCGTAAATACTCAAAGATGCTTTTCATTCATATATTTCAAGATACTCAAAAGTATTGCTTACTTATTCACCACAACTTTTTATCTATTTATAATTTAAACTATTTTTTTAGGAAAAGTGGCAAAGTACTCATTTTATTTTGATATTGTTCATGATACTAGTATGTGTTATATAATCAGGATATTCGTTTCTAAGTGCATGTATGTCCCATTTTAAAACTCAAATGGACAAGGAGAAAAACAAAGAAAGGACAAATAAGGTTAAATTTTATTAAGACAATTTTGATTATTAATATATAGAGCATAAATTGACAAGGATATTAGTACAGATTCCTCATTGCAATAAGATAAAAATTCATACAAGTTTCAGCCAAACTCTTGTTTCTAGAAGAAATTAATGTAGTAAAAATTGGACAACCTTTTAATTTAATAAATCGAAATTAGTCTAGTGTTGGTCTCCTAACCTTTCTCTTGTTCTCTAGTCTTTATGTAAATTGACCAAATACTTGTCTTCACTGATAATTTCATTTTGGGAACATATAAGTTGTTAAGATTTGGGATTCCATCTTAAAAGATCAATTTTATTAAGATGAGTAATACAATCCTTTATAAATTGGGTCTATATTTACATCTTTATTCAATGTGGAGATTCTATCACTTAACATGCCCCCACAAGATGGTGGCTCGTTTGAGCAGACCAATATTGAAATCCGTATGCTCACTTTTAAAGTCTTAATCAGATCGAATTGTTCGTTAGAATTTAATGGGCTCTGATACTATATTAAGATTTGTGGTTCCATCTTAAAAGATCAACTTTATTAAGAGGAGTAACACAATCCTCTATAAGTTGGTTTATATTTATATCTTTATTTTATGTGAGATTCTATTCCTTAACATAAGTATTAATGTTGTACGAAATTAATTTTCCTCTCAATTCTTGTTAATTTTCACCACACTAAATTAAGCTTCACCACTTAATATTTTTTTGAGTTCAACGAGGTTATTAATCTAGGTCAAACTTGTACGAGTAATTTCATTTAATAATAACTTGTTTGGCTATGAGACAACTAGTGAAAAATTCTTAATCAACTCGTGACTTAATTGATAGGTAAGTATCGACAGTTGATCAAACCAGGAATAGAACTTCTCAATAATAATTAATTTCAAAACTATCAAAACTGCATGCTAAATTCTGATCAACCATTGCCCATCTTTAGATGGTCTCTTATGTTCTTGAATTGAATCACAACGACATCAATAAGCCTTACATAAAAGAAATAAATCTATCACCAAATTAGGCCTTGTTTGTTTCTGATTAAAATCTATTTTAACCTAAATCAAAGTTAAACAATCAATATTAACCACATCTTTCATGGTCCCACACTTTTTCAACCACACATTTCAAAAATTTCTGTCACAATCTACTAAAAATCTAATTTTAATCACCACCAAACACTCACATATTAAAGTCGTTAATCTCTTATCTCAGAAAGCGAATAAGATAGCTTAACAACAAACATTTTGAAAATTAAAGTTGTTAATTCCTTAATACTTTTTTACTCTGTATATGATGCCTCAAATAGGTCAAAGAAATAAGGAAAATCTTGGTTGATGCAAGGACTGACGTATTGGGTTCAATGATATTACATTTTAATTATTTATTGTAGTATATAGTTATTTAATTATTTGTTGTCACAATTTAGAATAATTTATTTAGAACTGGCTATGAGGATCGTTGTCAATGAAATATATCCAGTAAAGCGTCAAATTCAAGAATCATAGACGGATTGCAAGATTAGATTTAGATAGGTGGGAATGGTAAGTTAAAGTGGAATTGTAAATTTTATTCAACTGACAATATTAAAATGAGTTGAACGTATAAATTCTTAATCTCCTAACGTTTCTACTTATTCGATATTAACTTCAAGAATATTAAGAAATAAGTTCAAATCATGTCAATAATAATAATAATAAACAAGGGATGCAATACACATTGGTTGAACACCAGTAACCTGCAAACCACACAGGAGAGGTAAACCGCACAAGGCAAACCCAGTGCGACGAGCTCAATCGAAGAAATGTTGGCAGAGGATTCGAACTCGTGACATTTGGTCTCCTCGTTCACTTGCTCTCCCAACTCGACCATCCTCGGAGGGGTTATTTTAATCGTTATTTTATTTTAATTTTAGGTTGAGTGTATTTTAAGCATTAGAGGGTTCTATAATTTCTTTATGTTTGTTTAAATTCATCTAAGAGTGAAGCTGTTTTTAATTGATTTATATATAATGTGAAGTTATTCCAATGTTCGTCGCTCTTCTTATGATATTTAGAGTTGTTTAAATATTGTATAGATAAAGATACCCTCAATATTTTAGATATGTTTTTATACTGAGAAATACAAGATTCGATCCTACAATACCTAGAGGAGGGTGATTAGGTGTAAATGCGGAATTAAAACTTAACTAATATGCAACAAGTTACAAGTTAATTATGTCTAGATCATTAGTCAAACAAGTCAATTAGGTAAGTCAATTTAACCTATCTTGAAATATCGCAGTTATGCCAAAGCAATAAATAAAGCAATAAACAACATCAGAATTATTCACGGAGAAACCCAACGTGAAAAAAACTCCGGGCACTTTGCCAATCAAAGATCCACTATAAATTATCAATATAACTTACAACTACCAGCAAAGTTGACAACGCAAGCTTTCTGATTTTCTGTCTGAAGTATGAAGCAGCCTTCCTGGAATGTGCACACCAACACCAATCCTGACTCTTCTTTGTAAAGCAGTCCTTCTGGAATGAGCATACGAACTCTAATCCTTACTCTTTACGCAAATTATCAACTTTAGATCTTCCCCAAGAACTGCTCGTTCTTCAAACTCTTCCTTGATCTTTAATGTAGCACAGTTGACGACACAATCTTGCAACAGATC